CGTTTGTTTTTTTTTTTTTGTTTTTTTTGTTTTTGTTTTTTTGATAATGTTCTCATTTTCACATTGAATGCTAATCCCGGAACAAATAACCGCACACTCATATATTATTTTGCCTGTATACATATATATATATATATATATATATATATATATATACATGTGTACATGTATAATATTAAACTTTTCCTTTTTTAAATATAAAATTCAGAAAAAACTTTGTCCTAAGGGTGGCATTAGAATGCTTGGCTTGCATAGTTACCAACAACCCTTAATAGTATGCTAGGAAAGCTTACGGACGAAAATCATTCTCTAACTCTCTATGACTTTTCATTTTCAAAGTTAATTTGTTATTTGGTATCATTTTCCCCTTACTTTCTTTGATAGATTTATTTTTGGCTTAAAGGGCCCATTCCATTCCATTCGGGCTTATGCAATTTTTATAGCGCTTATTTTTATTCATTTATTCTTTTTTTTTTTTTTTTTTTTTTTTCTTGTCCTTCATCTCTTCTCATGGCTGGCCAGCTACTTAAATTGAACAAGTTCTCATCTCATCTCCTTTTCAAAAGCGGTCGAACATTAGGTTGAGTAAGTTGTTTGTAAATTGTAAAATATGAGAAGGAATTATATGTCACTTGATTAGCTATAAAATGTTTATTACTTTCATTTATTAGCGTTTGATTTCATCTCATATCACTTTTTATTTTTCGACACCAATACAAAGTGATTATGGTGACGGGAGATAACTAATAACGAAATGCTTTCAATATTGATTTCATTATCTATGGATACCAAGCTTTTAAAAAGGCGAAATAAACTTGAAAGTGACCCGTTTTCTAAGGACAATAGGCGCATAATAGCAATGGGATTCAGTCCTGGGCACGTTGACTGCATTCGTCCTTTAAAAACTTTCAATGAAAGTTAGCAGAAAATTAGACAAACGTTAAGTTATAAGAACATACTTTGAACTTATGGTCATCCATCCTATAAAGAAGGCAGCAGTCTCCAATAAAGACTTTTGCAGGAGCAATCGATTAAGTTATCCAAACATCTACTCTGGATTTGCGGCAAAGTCAAACGTAGTAAACAACGATGCTAACCATTCGTCGAGGAGGCAACATTTAGTGGACATAAGCAACCAACGGAAGCGATTTAATTATGGAAATCAAAGAGAGTAAGGTTCTCATTGATAGTAAAGGTTAAAATTTCTAAAAAGGCAGGGTTCGAAAAGTTTTTCTACAATGACTGAGTTTATGGCAAAACTCTAAAGAGCTTTGAACGATTAGCCCTCCTCACCGAAATCACAACCAGTGTATTAACACTTTGTGATGAGTTGTCGAAATTGGTTTAGCTGAACAAAATAAATTCGGCCAAGGAGAGCTCTTAAACGAACTTTTTAATGCGCAAGATGCCTTGTCTTTCCAAAATGAAGGGAAGCTCTACTTTAAAGTACTGCTATTCAGTAGTGTTATATGAAGCTTCTCTCTTCTGTGTGAATGTGAAATAAATATTCGTTATAGGCAATGATTGTAATAAACGGTTTTCTAAGCATCGTTTCTAAAACCGATTTACTTGCCCAGCACACATTTTTTTTATATCTAAAATTTTTTATAATACTCGGTATACTTTAATCGCAGTGCGCTTATGAACCTGAGTCTTAAGATAATGGGAACGAACAACCATTACTTACCTTTGGCGGTAATGTTTGCTAGAGCGGCTATCAATATTAGACAGTTCTCTAGATCCACAAGAATAAACGAAGCAATCGCTTAGAGGGGGGACTTAATCATCTACGGTCGCAACAAATTTAAATTTTCCCGGTAATTGTAAAAGATCGCCATAATCAAAGATGTCCGACAATTAAATGCATTTTTAAGCTGACACTCCAAGGTTGTCAATGCAGTGCAAGTAAAGGAAACAGCAAAGGCAAGATCAGATGTTTTGAGGAATAAATACCCATTAGCTTCCAGAAAAAACTGCAGCTCTCTACAACCCTATCATTTCTCGAAAGGCTAGTAGTGAACCATACAAAAACCGCAACTAGTTCTTCTTATCACCTTCTTAGTTAGAACGCTTTAAGACTTCTATGTAAATAATCGTTTTTTTCTTTTTCTTGTGGATGGACATAAATGTACTTAGGATTGAAAGTTGCCTGAGCCTCTTGCTTCATCTAAATATTTACAATTTAATGAGAAACTGTCCTAAGTAAGAGTACTCGCCACTCGTAATCTAAAATATTTACTTAAAAGTTGTTCTTTTTCAAAGTAAATAATATTCCACTTAACTTAAAGTGTCAACGGTTAACGTCAGGCGATATATCGCACATACGGTTATATTCACATTCGTAAAGAATAAACATCTTTTCAACATTACTGGCTGAGCATCCGTAAAAATCTTCATGCACGCTTATGCAATGAATATATATATATATATATATATATATATATATATATATATATATATA